TCAGTCTTGAAATTAAGAACTTATGCTGAAATAGTGGATCGAGCCCAAATTGTCGAAAAAGATTTTGAAGATTACCAAAAGGCGAAAAATCAGAACAGTCGTGTTAGACCTACATCATCTAATCAACAACAGTTTGAAAGGCCAAACAAGAAGCCAAGGCCCTCGCCATTTCAAAACCCAATAGAACCATGTAGAAAATGTGGGGAAAATCATGGATCAAGCCCTTGTTATTGGAATACCGGAGCCTGTTTTAAATGTGGAAAATTGGGACACCAGATTAGACAATGTCCTAGCTTACAGACACAACAGCTTCCAAAGCAGGGAGAAATAGCTCCAAAGCCTCAGATGAAGGGAAGAGTATTTGCGATTACCGAGCAAGACGCTCAGGCCTCAAAATCAGTGATCCAAGGTACTCTTACTATCTTCTAAAAAGTAGCTCATATTTTGATTGATCCTGGATCTACTCATTCATTTGTGTCACAACACTTTGCATGCCACTTAAAGGTAGAACCAGAACAATTAGAATACATTCTAGAGGTAGCCACACCGATGGGAAATTCAATTAACACCAATCTAATGTACAAATCATGTGTAATAAAGATAGAAGAAAAGGAACTGTTGGTTGATTTAATACTCCTGAAAATTCAAGATTTTGATGTAATCTTAGGCATGGATTGGCTTTCTGCATACCATGCAAGTATTGATTGTTATAAGAAAATTGTTACCTTTAGTATTCTGAATCAACCAGTAGTTTACTTCAATGGGGTCAAAGAAGACTCCCCATCATATTTAATCTCTTGTATTCGAGCTAATCGCCTCCTTCGAAAAGGGTGTCAAAGCTTTCTTGCCTATATCAAAGAAGATAGGAAGGAAGAAATAAATTTGGATACCACTCCGGTTATCCGAGAATTTCCCGACGTTTTTCCAGAAGAATTGCCAGGATTATCGCCTGACAGGGAAATTGAATTCTTCATTGAATTATTGCCAGGGGTAGCATCAATTTCTAAGGCACCTTACAGAATGGCTCCTGTAGAACTTAAGGAACTGAAACAACAATTGGAAGAATTATTAGATAAAGGTTTTATCAGGCCCAGTGAGTCACCTTGGGGTGCTCCAGTACTGTTTGTCAAAAAGAAAGATGGGACTATGAGATTGTGTATTGATTATAGACAGTTGAACCAAGTGACAGTGAAAAATAAGTATCCATTACCTAGAATTGATGATTTATTTGATCAATTACAAGGATCACAAGTGTTTTCAAAAATTGATCTTAGATCTGGATACCATCAGCTTAAGATTAAAAGTAAAGATGTTCCCAATACAGCTTTCAGAACAAGGTATGGCCATTATGAATTTTTAGTCATGCCTTTTGGATTAACCAATGCACCGGCTGCATTTATGGATTTGATGAATCGAATCTTTAGGCTCTTTTTGGATAAATTTATTGTGGTATTCATCGATGATATTTTAATTTATTCTAAGAATCAGAAGGAACATGAGCAGCATGTAAGAATGATATTGCAAATATTAAGAGAAAAGAAATTGTATGCCAAACTTAGTAAATGTGAATTTTGGTTTGAACAATTGACATTTTTATGACATGTCATATCAAAGGAAGGTCTATCAGTTGATCCTTCAAAGGTTGAAGCTGTTGTTAATTGGAAACAACCAAGTAATGTGACTGAAGTTCGAAGCTTTTTGGGATTGACAGGATATTACAGAAAATTTGTAAAAGGATTTTCTCGAATCGCAATCCCATTGACTCGATTGACACAGAAAAATATCAAATTTGAGTGGACAAGTGAATGTGAGGAGAGTTTTCAAGAACTAAAAGTTCGATTAACTTCAGCACCTATTTTAACTATTCCTGAGGGGAGTGGGGGATTTGTGATTTACAGTGATGCTTCACATAAAGGTTTGGGCTTTGTATTAATGCAATATGGGAAAGTAGTGGCATATGCATCCAAATAGTTGAAAGAATATGAGAAAAAATATCCAATTCATGATTTGGAGCCAGCTGCAATAGTATTCGCTTTGAAAATATGGAGGCATTATCTATATGGTGAGCAATTCGTAATATACACGGATCATAAGAGTTTGAAATATCTTTTCTCTCAGAAGGATTTAAATATGTGGTAGATAAGATGGATGGATTTCTTAAAAGATTATGATTGTACAATCCATTATCATTCAGGAAAAGCTAACGTTGTGGCCGACGCTCTAAGTAGAAAATCTACGGGAGTCTTAGCTCATCTAATGATCCAAGAAATGCGATTGTTAGAGGAAATAGTGGATTGGTATCCAACTCCGTCCATTAATGGTGTGGTAAGTATGATTGCCAACATTAAGGCGGAACCTCAATTAATCCAACAGATTCGATTGGCACAAAAGAAAGACCCTCAGCTTATAACAATTATAGAAGAGGTGAAGCAAGGAAAGAGATATGAATTCTCTATATGTAGTGAGGATTTGCTAAGATTCAAAGGTCGGGTTTGTGTCCCGAATGATAAGAGTGTAAAGAAAGCTATCTTAGAAGAAGCACATCATTCTCGTTATACGATACATCCCGGAAGTATTAAAATGTATCAGGACCTGAAGAAAACCTTTTGGTGGAATAATATGAAAAAAGAGGTAGCACTATTTATGTCTAAATGCCTAACATGCCAGCAAGTAAAAGCTGAACATCAAAGGCCCGCTGGGTTGTTGCAGCCTTTACCCGTGCCAGAATGGAAGTGGGAGCATATCTCTATGGATTTTGTCTCTGGCCTGCCTAGAACAAATTCAGGACATGATAGCATTTGGGTCATTGTGGACATGTTGACCAAAGCTGCCCACTTTCTACCGATTCGCACGACGTACACTTTGGATCGACTGGCTCAGCTGTACATTAAGGAAATAGTACGGTTGCATGGAGTTCCTGTCAGTATTGTATCGGACAGGGATACTCGATTTACTTCTAAATTTTGGGCTAGACTACAGTCAGCCATGGGGACAAGACTCACCTTTAGTACTGCCTTTCACCCCCAAACTGATGGACAATCGGAGAGGACCATCCAAACCTTGGAAGATATACTGAGGGCCTGTGTTATTGACCTTACAGGAAGCTGGGATGACCATTTACCCCTGATTGAGTTTGCTTATAATAATAGCTTCCAAGCCAGTATTCAGATGGCACCATATGAAGCCCTGTATGGAAGGAAATGCAGGTCACCCATATGTTGGGACGAGGTTGATGAAAGAAAGA